GAGTTGATGAACTCATTCTCTTACATGGAGGACACTATGCGCAAGTGCTTCACCGAGGACGACAAGGCAATCATCCGACGTGATGTTGAAAGCCGAAAGAGGAAAGCAAAGTCATCCAAAGACGTCGAAGACGAGGACTACATGGATGTGGATGATGAAGATATTGAACTTCCCGAAGAAGAGCCGGAACTAGGAGGTAAGGTACCACCTCACTCTCCGAGAGCCAAAGGTAGACCACACTCGTCAGACTCTGCGAAAGAGGAATACGCGAAAGCGGTCGAGGCAACCAAGAAGGCCTTTGGGAACGCCAGTTTCGTCACCAGATTCAAAGAGCCCGTCGACCTCTTTGACATTGCCGATGACAAAGAAGGAGGAGAGTACAGGGTCGCAAATCACAGGGTTGATAGATCAGGTCCTAATGGAAAGTGGGAACTTGATGCACTTATTCAGGAGGCTGCAGCACTCGGAATAAAGATGCCCAAAGTGAAGGACCTTGCTCCTGACCCACAACAAGTTCAAAAGGTTGGATATCGGCAGATTGAGGTGACTTGCGATAGAGGAAGCATCGAGATAATTCCACAGTATGGAGTTACATTCTATGTGGAGTACTGGAATGGACCGAAGAGAGATGCAACTTTCACGGATCCACCAAAGATGAACCCAGCAACTCGCATCGACAAGTTCAGCGAGGAGAGTCAGCGGGTCAACGAGGTTAGCCATAGACTCAATAGACTACTCAGGCATGGAGTGGGAAAGCATAATGGGATTCAATCGCACCGCGGTCGAAAACCTCATGTGTCCCCGAAGTGTAATGAGGGTGGATGGGTGAACATCGATGAGATCCTGGAATATGACCATGTCTTCAACGATGGTGTCGATATCAGTACTATCTCAGGTGATCGGCATCGTCAAGATGTCAAGACAGAGCGATACCAGTATTTATGCAAGGCGATGTGGCATGCAAAGAAGTTGCAGAACAGAGTACGCTACCAGATTGCCGCCATTCGCATCTCAAAGGAGGATGTCTCACTCGAAGAGGAAAGGCAATACTGGGCAAACCTCATGTTTTACAGCACAGACGCACCGTCATTTCTGAAGCATGAACGTTGGATCGTTCCTTGTGCAATTCGAGCTGTTGCCTCTCACAATTCTGGAAGAGAGACTGTTCTTGAAGAGGATGTGTCAATATATCCTGTGTGGACTTCACATCTCATTCCAGAGAATGTGGCAATGCAGCTTGGAGGAAGCTTTCACATGACATCGCTTTCCAATATTGAGTCAATCATGAAACTAGGAATTGTCCCTGGTGGAACGGAGGGATATAGAGGTAGTGTTTTCTTCAACCACTTTGCGCCGTGGGATGATCGATCATCAAAGATTCTGAGATCAAGATGGCCAAGAGTGGGAATGCCCGTTTGCCTTTATGTTCCAATCATGACTTTGAGGAAGCTTGGGGGAAGAATTTCGGAGAATTCCTACACTGTTGTTTTTAGAGAAGTTCCATGGAGATGTGTACGAGGTGCTTGGTATTGGGACGACCACGTTCAGGCATGGAGGAGACTCCTGCTGGGAAGCACTGGAGAGCAAGTTGTTCTAGCGGCACGTCATGGACTTTGGGTTGCTCAGAAGCATACCATCCTCGAGAGAGCCGACGAAGTCACGAAGTCAGCCTCGGCGACAGATGACAACGTCCAAAAGCTCGTGTCCCTTATCGATGAAGTACGATTCGATGACAATGAAGAGCTGATCGAGGATTCCATCAGTGAGGAAACTTGGGACGAAATCATCTCCAGAACATGTGAAGGGTATCGCAACGTGGATGGCAATATTTTGTGTCCATCATGTATGCATTTGACTTCTTCATCTTTGTCCGTGTGTCTATCTTGTCAAGGCAGGCTGCTCTCGTGTGGTATTCGCAACACTGTCATTTCCGATTCACCCGTTGATCTTGTGAGCGACGATGAAGAGGAAAAGAAGGAAGAGAAGAAGCCTGAAGATGATGATCAAGATATCTTGGACCAGGCCACTATGGACGAGATCAGAAAGGCTTGGGAAGAAGACATCGCTCAAACTGAAGCAGCTGATGACGACGAGGACATGGACAATCTAGATCCTTCCAAACCGTTTGATGGTGCAGAAAACTTCAAGAGTGACAATGTCGAGACCCCATCTTTCAATGAGGACGAGATCGACTACGGTCGTGATTCTGATCTAGAAGATGAAGACGAACGAAACGTGATCATCGAGATCCAGAGGAGCACACAACAATATGAGGGGAAGAAACGTCAAGATGGTGAGCCCGAGGATGAAGACGTCACCGACGACTTACATCCGGAGGCGAATCGACCGACAGATCGTGATGAACCGGGATACTATGCACAGCATGGAGCGACCGAGTTCAATCCCGAAGAAGGAAGAGACAACGAAGATCTCCCCATCTATTGTCGAGTACCGGAACCTCGAATCTATGCGCATCAAGAGAGAGCCTACTGTCAGGACGTCTCCATGAATGCATCGGGTTTGATGGATAGGTATGTGGTCAAATGTGTGCTGAACATGATCTCCCTGATGTACAAGAGCTACTATTGCACCAGCCTTACCGACTTCAAAGCAAATTGGAAAAGGAAGCGACTGGATGTGATAAGCAAGTTCGGTACAGGGGATTCCACTGAAATCGATGACGATGGGAGACCATTGGATCCAACAGATGATATGATGTTAATCTTTGCCAACGACAACAATATTACAACTGAGGAGGCCTGGCACCGATTCAGAGGAGAACAATTCATTTGCAAGGTGGCACTCGTGATCCTATCATTTGGTCATACTCCGCAATCCTTCAAGCAGGGATATGGCAACTTCGAACACTCCACCGACTTGACTGATGCCCAGCTTGAGGAGTTGAAAGCGAAGAAAGCCAGCGCAATGACTGAATTGGTACAGAAGTGCATCCATGCGATTTATGGGTGTCGGACATATTCTTACTTTAGAACCGACATTACATCACCCTACCACAAGGTGATCGATCCTCTGGACATCATGTACTCGAGAATGAAGAGCAAGTGGGAGAAGTCTATTCTGTTGATCATTGATCAACATGAAATCAGGTTGCCCCCACAAGCTCAGGAAGTCATAGAGTCAATGGCCAGAAACCCCAACGTTGGACATACAGAGCGATGGATGAGCGTGGTAGAACATAAGCATGTTCAAGCTCTTACCAATCGTCTAGGCTTTGGAGATAGGGCCAAGGAGATTCAGGGCAAGAAGAAGCAGGCAGCCAAGGCAACAGCTAAGTCAACATCAACGACTAAGTCTGAAGCGAAAGCAGCATCTTCGTCAAGAGCTGAGGCAAAGCCAGCATCTACACCCAGAACCGAGGCCAAGCCGTCGTCAGCACCAAGTGAGGAGCCAAAACCTTTAACAGCACCTAAGAGTTTCGGGCCCTCATCAGCAGAGGAGAGCAAGGCGAAGGCTGCTCCAAAAGCCAGACCACATGATAAATCACCATCCAGTGCTACCGATGTGTTTGAGCAAGCTTTGCAGGAAGATCTTGCCGCCAACGCACATGCAGCAGAAGGTACAACTTCTTCATCATCCCGAGGACATTCCAAAGGAGGAGGCCAATCTGGAACATCTTGGAGGCCGGCGCTAACGCAAGAACGTCGCGAAGTACCTCAACCTTCTGAAAAGGGGAAGGGAAAGAGCAAGTCCAAGGGAAAGTCCAAGAAGGGAGAAGATGATCGGTGGGATGCTCAGGGCAGCTGGGATCATCGTGGATGGAGAGGTTATCACCAGTGGTGATTTCTTTGAACGACTATGAGGATACCATGCAAACCAGGGAGGAAGTCATTCACCGGATGTCTATCTGACCTGAAACGCTGTAAGTGTATCATTGCAAATCGTCAATCTGATTTGATACCTTGAGCATAATGGAAGGAAGACAATCACCGACTGTCTCTCCGACTTGCCGTTCTGTAAGTGTATCCAAAACCAAAAAAAAACCTACATCTTTTGAGAAGTGTGAAGTCAGTTGCCGATGTGACATCTACGTGGAAGTCACCAGTTCGGATCTACATCAAAGCAATGCTCTTTTGAGTGGATACTGAGCGAGGCCTCGTGACTGTCTCACTTGTTCAATTCGATTTTTCAAAGGTTCTGAGCCATAGTTGCACACTTTATATGTAAAAGTCCGCTTTAGTCCAGCATGTTTCGTAGTATGAGCCTCATATGAGTCTCGCGGCAAATCATACAATTTCTTTGTAGCACTTACATCCCTAAATTTTCGTGTGTGATCGGAACATATTGTTGCCGTTCACATGGGGGGTGCGAATGGAAGTGCAGCGACACGTACAGTGCAACTTGTACATATATATATGTACCATATGTACTTTGGCTCAAGGATCAAGCGACTAGAAAAGGTGCGGTTTCCGTTCCGACGCTACGCCGCTTATGGACCGTCAGTGATAGCTTCAAACTTCGCTGATTAAGATCCACTCGCAATTTATATATATATATACACGTAAGCACGCATCAATAATGCCCCATTGGAAGAAGGAGCAAATGATATCCATCAATGATTCTGTGCGCATTTGGGCCTTTATATATGTAGGGGTAGGTATAGCACAGTGCAGAGTGACAGAGTGTGTCGCAGAAATGGAACTTATCCTAACACTATAGTCCTGCATACCACTGTGTTGCAACATGATAAAAGCCAACAGTCTCAACCGCCTAAACATGTTCAACGGTACACAATGAAGGAGACTGCATGAGTATTGTTGAGGGTGCCAAGTGCATGTATACAATCTTAATCATCCGCTGGAACCGGCTGGCTGAGTCGGACTATATGTTGACAAGCCCCTCAAAGTGCTCACCACAGGAAGGCACATGTATGTTGATCCTATCCCGGTGGCGTTTGTGCAGAGGGTGAGGTTTTCCCATGGCATGACAAGGAGACGACAGGAGACGGCAGGATGATGGCACGCCGCGACGGTTCCGCCGAGGAGGTGGAGAGACTGGCTCTAGAGGTGGGTCGAAAGAAGGGGCTCAACCAGCCAGGGGAGCTCAGAGGTTTTTTGGGTGACGGGAACGAGGTCAGTAGAAGTAGAAGGGACAGTAGTGAGACCGGAGACAGAGACAGAAGTACGTCTCTTCTGCATAAATGATGGAGATTGGCAGTTGAGTTGCAATCCTTGTTGGACAAGGTTATTATAATGTTGAGGAAAGCCCGACGTGTGAAAGTGAAGTGAAGGTTCTTTTTGGCCCGACGTGTGAAATCGGTTGAGACCCAGAATCAGAACAAGTGATCCATCACGGACAGCGCCAGCCTAGACTGCTGGCACTTGCTTAGACCCCAAACAAGGGAAACGCAGGGAAACTAACGATGGTGCATGGTGGTGTTTTGGGAATGTTAGACCCATGCCGTGGTGTGGGTCAACCAAACACCCAAAGGCCCCAAATGAAGACCCCGCTAAAACATGCGCACTAATCCACCAGAAATGCTCGCCAATGCAGCGTGAGGTTGTTGAAAGCCCCTCTCCTGATGATCCTTGTGTTAGATCCTGATGTAAGTTTGAGGGTTTGTGCTTTAACAGGCTGGCTTCCTGTTCAGTGAGGCTTCGGCCTTTGTTTGGGTCACAACCCATGCTCCAATAATGTCTCCTTAAAAGACCGCCAACTCCGCGCCTCAAGCACTGGGCCAAACTCGCCAGCCCACCGGCATTTTGACTGCCTTCCAGAACCGGTGCTGTTTACAGTAGATGGCATTATATAAAGCAAAGATATAAACCACCAAACTTGGGGCCCTGGTGCCATCTACTCTGAGACCACGTATGAGCTCCCACAAAAAACATCTTCAACTTCCGGGCCAAGGCATGAGTTCCTCACCTTCATGCGGAAGTACCGGGATTTTGAGGCACTTCCGCGCACTTCCGCGCACGTTCACGCGTAGCCCTGCTCGGGGTGTGCTCAAGAGGAAAAGAGGTGACTCAGCCAGTTTCCTCAAACAGCTCTTGGTGAACAGTTGGAATGATTGGGCGGATTTATATACCTAGTATGCTTCACACTGCATTTTAGGAGGCATCGCCCCAGTCAGCACAGGGGTGATGTCCCAATGACCAGATTCGGCCGCATCCCCTCGCGGCCTTCATGGACCTTGCAGGTGCAGAAGATCCTACAGTTCAATCAAGAGAAGAGGAGCAGATGTGCGTGTGTCACCTGGTGTTTTTATCATTTCTACCAAAAACACGTCATCCACACACAACACATTGCATCACATTGCATGATGTCATCAGATGAAACTAAAATGTTTAAGCTTTAATATCAATGGCTCGTTCCCTTCCTTCACCTCCTTCACCACCTCCTTCACTTCACTCCAACTCAGCCTCGATCCTTCGCCTCGACTTGCCAGGAGAGGTGACGAAGAAGCACCCCTTGAGGGCACCGTGTCCTTCGTCGACCTGGTCGGACTGTTGGACACCTCAGGGCGGCAACGACACGTCGCGTCACGGCGCGTTCTTCGGGCAGCGACGTGTTTGTTTGTTTGGAGGCGACACGATATGACAGGAGTGGCCTAGTGGGAAGACCGGGAGCGGGTCAATTTTGGCCCTCCCTCCAAGGTAATGTTGGATCTTAATTCGCATAACCATCCCCCCCGTGGCAAACAATCGAGGGAGTGGGATTCGAAACCCTACTATCAAAATTAATGCTGGTTGCACTACTACTACTACTACTACGACGACTACTACTACTACTAGTGCCATAGCAGTAGGAGTCGGAGTAGTAGTAGTAGTAGTCGTCGTCGTCGTCGTCGTAGTCGTAGTAGTAGTATTTCAATTGAACCGGTTGAGAAAAATGGTCAGATGTTGACAACAAGGAAGAGTAAGAGGCGATGAAGTAGCGCATACACATGTTCTCATCTCTATGTGTACATATATGTATACATCTCAAGAAACAGCTGGTTAGAATCTCACATTCCCAGCTCCCTCACCACCACGGCCACACGCTTTGGGCCGCAAGACAACAGATCGCTCTACGCTTGCGGGTGTACTGTCTTGCGAGGAGAGTTCTCCGATCATCTCAGCACCTCTTGAGGGGGCACGTGTGTGTCTCACAGCTTGAGCCAGAAAGCGACACTGGACTCGGGCAGGTATGAGCCTATCCACAGTAAGTTAGCTCCTTTAACCCTCCTCTAGGGACGGTGACATAGGTGACCGCCCTGGGGCAAACTATGCAAAATGGCACAGTTAGGTATGATAACTTGGCGGTACTGTCCAGTCATCCCCATTGGGAGGGAGATAGTTGAGCCACCGTGGGAGCACTAACCTAAAACAAGCTTCGAAAGCATTATGAGCGGCATATGGACGCCGCCAGGTAGCTCGCACTAGTCTATGGTAGTGTAGGCGTGACAACAATGCACACTCTCCAAACTCCCTGCGCGCCCGGATGCAGAGACGCAAGACCCGATATATAGTAGGTAAGAAGGGCGACGCAGAGCCATAGCAAGCTTGCAATGGATCTCTGCGCAAGAGGCATGGCATAGCAACTTTGCGTGGGTGTTATTGCAGGTCTGCCCAACGCGCTCATCACGAGCGGACCCCAAGGATCTTAAAGGGCAACAATAGCTAAAGAATAGAAAAACAAAAAGCACATCCTGGCTCAAAAAAACCTAATGATTCCGTCCCATTCCATTATAATATATATATATATATTAATTTCGATGAGTCATCCTCAAGGAAGTTCCTGTCATGCCCACGTTAGTTCCAGGGAGTGTGTATCTTATCTAATTATGGGGACGGGCCCTCCTGCGCTCGCCACACATGGTTTACCCTTTCCTAGCCTGACTCGATGACTGAGTGTGAAGAAATAGGTTGTTTGGTCATTTGTCATGCCCCTGACCCCCGAACAACTAAACATGTTAATTTCAAAAGAACCAACGTGTAATTGTTAACGCCGCTGTGGACTTCGAAAAGTGTTGCTTCCAACATTGACCACTGCCACTATCACAGTGTTGTTTTCTCGCTGCTGTTTGTTTTTCTCACCCTCTATATATATATATTATATACACATACTTTTGAATATGATGATCACAAGTTGGTTCATTTCCCTATGACGTTCGCATGCGCATTCCCATCGCATCTTTCCAACGCAAGGTTGAAGGAGATCGGCTACACCGATGTGTCCCCGGAGGTGCTTCAGGACACGGTGCCTACACGACTCGTTTTGCGACTTCTGGGGGATGGGCCAGGTTGCTGCAGGTGCTTCAGGGAGAGTGACGGGATGCGGAGGCATCGAAAGGCTGACCCCAAGCAGTCCGGGGCGAAACCCTTTTCTTTCGTGGCGTGGAGGTCGCCCAAAGGCGGCAGTTTCAGGTTGCCAGCCGCCTCCGGTGAGGGGCATGGAGGGACGCCACCCTGCAACGAGGGCGGCATAGCGTCGCGACGCAACGCCGGACCCAGGATGACCCAGGGACATGGAGGGCAGACATCATTTTACGGTGAACCTTTGGGACAGTATGTGGGGCAGTATGTCGTACATTTTATGCGTTTTCCGGAGAACTGCATGGAAGGCAGATGAAAGCAACGTTTTGAGCTGGTGTCCCCGCTGGGTTTCCAGAAAGGGGAGATAAGGAAAGTAGAGACGTTGAGACGAGCTTTGCGTCTCACACACGGTGATTAACCACCTCTTTTGTAGATGAGGAGACTAAGCAGAACGCATGTGATTCCATGTTATACCATGTTATTTTTTTTGTGGTTTGCGCATGTTTGTTTGCTGCTTGGCTTTTCGCCGAGACGAGGAGTGTGCTGCACTGGCGCTGAGACCCAGTTGCTGGGCCGGGCCTGCATGACTGGTCAGGAAGATCGAACGTCAACAACGACCCCTTGAGTATAGTATAGAAGATCATACGGCATTCAGGTGGTTTATATGGTGTTTTTGCATGTTTTTGCGACCCCAATGAACATCCAACATGGGTGGTTGTACTGCGTAACTGCGTGGTTCCTCGTATTTGCTGCATCCTTGTTTTTGTGCCCATGGCCTGTGTGAAGTGTAGAGGTGCCCCAAGTTTCAGTTTGGTGCAACTGGCGTTCGCCACAACGGTTAGCATCCTGCAATACAGAAGTTTGACAGCTAGACCCTGCAGAGAGAGAGAGAGAGAGAGAGACGGGAAAATGGTTTTGAACAGGTCTAAATACATAACTATTATTAGACTGATTCGAGCAAGACAGTTGGATTGTAATTCATTTGGGGAGTTTTATTCATCAACATCAACCGTCCACGTGATGTTAATTTCTATTCAATGTTCCGTGCTTCATGACGGTCACCGGTCTCATGGAGGTCCTCACAGGTGTTGAGAAGCAGCTTCAGCAGCGGAGCGTGTTTCCTGCGGGACTGGTGGAAAAAGAACGGTTTGCAGTCTAGATGGGCGCCTCCAGAAGCCAGTCATGCGCCTGTAAGACGGAGCCAGTAGAATGGCTATACCCAAACACTCCATGTATGAAATATGCCGATCAGTTGGGGTGGTTTGGGGGGTCAATGTAGGTAAATATGCCGTACATGGAGTGTTTGGGATAGATTCCTTTATGGACGAAGCAGTTGAGTCCGTGGAAGGCCTCTCCGTCGCTCCGTCGATGCAGCGTGTGAGGTGCACCTGGTGAGTCGCGAGATGGCAGAAGGCTGGAACTGGAACCCCCGCTCACCCCCCACCCCGGAAAAAGACAGACTCATGACCCTGTGAATCCTCAAGCGCGCAAAATACTGCATGATTGGCCAAGTATGTGAATAGTACCCAGACGCTCCATGGGACTGCCATATATGCCTACATTGACCCCCCAAACCACCCCAACTGATCGGCATACATGGCACACATGGAGTGTCTGGGGTACATGATTGGATTGTCAGGGAAATGCAAGCTGCTCGGAACTGGAACTGTTCAAACCACCCCGGGGCACACTTGGGTTCAGAGGAACATGACGGGCGTGGACCGTGGGGATGTGGATGTGAGCGAGTCGTATGATGTCGTATTGAATCGTCTATATTCCATTTAGGGATTTGTGCCATTTGTGCCCCTTGCATGCTGCCTCACTCTTGCTGATTCATAGGTCTTCGACGAGTGGGTGTGGGTCCAACATCCCGGGGCTGATCTGACGCATACAGTGGTTTCAGAGTAGATGGCACAACCCCCAATATGTTTATTATGTAGGGGTCCATCTAAATTAAACCAGCAACTGAAACCGCTATACTTGACCATGGATAGTTGATTCGCTGAGTCAGAGCTAGGGGTTTTCATACTTCAGGGTCCCGTCGACGCGTCGATGTGTGGCTGTCGACTCTGAAAGGATGACCAGCCATGACCAGCCGAGCGAAGTGGGGTCTCAAATAGATCAAAGCATAACAATAGAAACGGTGGTCCAATGCATGAATCAAGTGGGGGTCTACTTTTCTATGTTGTTTGTGGGTCCAAAGAAGCCGTAGGCTTCCAAGACCATTTAAAGAAAGGTTGACATGGTTGCATAAAACAGCTGGTGGTTCGGGATTCAGGTCGACCATTAAAACCAATGGTTGGACTGGAAGCCGAGGGCCTTAGGGTAAGTGGTTTTTTACCACTTCCATGACCATTCGGAGTGGTTCTACCGAGTCAGCCACGACTCGGTGGTCCCAGGGATCGCCTCGTTCAACCCGACCTTCACGTGGCCAGCTCGGAGGGTCTTTTCCGTGGTTGGATTTGTTGGGGTGTTGCAAAAGAGTATCGTCTTTATAGGGATCCCTATACAGGATTTCAGCATTTCTATGGATTTGTGAGTTATGTAAGTTATGTCTTTGTTACAGGAGTTCTATGGATATGTGATTTGATCTCAGAGTTCTGAGATCTGAGGATGGTTGATTCCAGAGGGCTTCAGTGGGTAAGGTTCAAATGCTTCACATGTTGGATAGACATCCCGACAAATCCCCTATGGGTATATACATCCCCTTCTGGTGAATATATGTGTTTTTCTCCAGATCCTTTCTCCATTCAATTGAAAAAATGAAAAACACCCATCGTATCCCATCGTGGTGACAATCTCGTGTGCCACAGTATGCTCATCCTTTGTTAAGAATGCACCGTGACAGCTTCAGACTTGTTTTGGCCGAGACATTTCATGAAACTTGTTGCCACAACACACAGGACTCGACTCAATCTAAGGATTCTCAAACTTGCCAGGGGACACATCCGAACTGACAGCAGCTGCAGGCAGATCAGCCTGCGGCAGCAGGTTGCTGTGGAAGGTCTGTGGGAGTGGGCCACACTCCCACCAAGTGCCAAGAGAGGGTGCGTTCGTCTTTTTGGAAGGTCTAAACCTGCTGCGAGAGCCCAGGTTTGATGGCCTCTACCACTTCCTGGAAAACCTCCGGGCGTCGCATGGCTTCGCCAACGAAGAGCGGGCTCCTCGCCTGGCGTTTCGTTGGCCAAAGCGCAGCTCCACCGCGCACGTTCGAATGGGTGATTCTGAAGCGTGGAGCCGAGGCTTGCCAATACAGTCAGGTGATTTCGGGCTCCAGCCTAGAGGGAGGTTGTTTGATTTCGGCACCCTGGTTCCAACTGATTCCTATTCACATCTATCCACTCACACGGGGCCTGAAAACGACGTGGGAGTCCCCTGCCGAGCGACCAGAATCTCAACTGCCTGAGCGAGCCTGGATGGTGTGCTGCCGGTCTCTTTTTTCTCCCATCCATCCAACAGAAAATCATCCACAGATCGTTGTTCCTTGCCCTGACACTCCGTGGGCCTTATAAAATTAATGACATTGGGGTGGCTTTATTCATCAATGGGCAATATAAGAAATATAGATACACCATGTTACAACATTTTATACATGTGTCAATGTGCATAATTGTAATATTCCATACATGGAGTCCTGGGTAGGAGATTGATATATATATATATATGATATATATATATATACCCTTCACTAGCAGCATGTGTTTTTTGTGTGTGTGGGGGAGGGGCGGAACCTACCCGTTCACTTTGCTTGACCCAGTGAGGAGATATTCCATTCCCAGGACCAAGTCCCCAAGTCCGGTGGCTTGGAGACCTCTTCACCTATGAGGGCGCAGTATGTAGACACCTCAGAAGGATGGTCCTGGTACCTGGAGTGTCTCTCATAGATGGCCTTTTACTATTAGTTGGTTGATTACTAGAGAGGATACCGTCCCAAAAGGACACCACTGGTGTCTCTTGTTTTCTTTTGCCCCTCACCACCTTCGATTTCGCTGCAGGTGGACCTTCGCCACGCCTTTGGGCGCTTCAGCAACGAGCAGGCCGCGGGATGCCTGTGTGCCCTCCCACAGCGCTCCCCCTTCAGGGCCTCGAATTTGTCCCAAGGTGGAGCATCCGATCACTGGTAGCATCCGATCATCGAATTCGTGCGGAACTACCGTGACGCCCCCGAGATCGAACCGAACCACGACTTCACTTCAACAGGGAAGTGCGGAAGTGCAGGGATCCAGAGAGAGAGAGAGAGAGACATACTGGCTATTGAAAAGCCACCACACGTTTCCGAAGGTCGTTTCCCGTTCTCGTGTTTTTGTTGACCACTCGACCACGGACAACGACCACGGTCGCCTTCTTTTCCGACTTCGGTGCCCAGTTCTCCCGGAGTGGCTTCATAGAAGAAGACGATGCCAGCCAGATGCCTGAGCTCGGAAGGGGGCGGAGGTTGGGATATGGCTTCCGGTGGCTTGGAAGCCCCTTGCCGAGCTTTTTCTTTTGGGGGGCAGGGCTCTAAGGTAGGAAATCATGGACATCTATTTCAGTGGACCCTGCTGAGGGGCTGAGCATGTTTCGAACAGAGGAAACATGTTTACATATTTTTAATCAGAGAAGGAAGAAGACAAATAACAATAAAACACAAAGAAGGAATAACGAAGACAGAATTTAGAATAAATACTACTGAAAGAAGGAGGAGAAGAAAAGAAGAACAAAAACCAAAGAAAGAAAAGGAAGAAGGAGCTGAGACAAAAGGAAAGAAACAAGCAGAAGGAGAAGAAGAAGAAGATTGGGGGTTAAAAACTACGGTTTTGTGTCACATTTCCCTTAAACCAACATCCCAAAGATGTTGGGATGTCCGAGATGCGCCATCGTCTTCCATCGACACCATGTACATGGACTCGACCGGGTTCACCCGAGGCTCCAGTGCACCGGAGGATGACGAGGAAGGGAGTGGCAGATGGAGAAACGGGATCCAGTGGTCTTAAAAAGGGAGAAGTGGAGTAGCTGTCTCTGCACCAAACATTGATGCGGCAAGGTATATGGCAGTCAAGCCCGGGCCACCTGGATTGACCAGAGAAAATGAACGGAGTGGACTGGACTAGGAGGGAGCTCAACCTAGCAGGGATTAGGGGTCCTGGGTTTTGACCCACTGCCATGCAGATCATTATAGATCCCCCAAAAAAACGGTGTCAGGAGCCCCTAGTAGCGTCCGAACGCTCCTGGGTCTATTTCCAGGTCCTGGCGGCCAGTTGAGCTTCCAATCCCGCTTTGGGATTGGAATCCCACAACTGGTCATGAAACAGAGCTTTTCAAGCGGTCACTGCATGTGAATTGAGGATGATGATGTTTCTCAAACTTTCCACATGATCAAGTGCAAGCACCACCATTGAACCACCACATTGGAGTCCTTGCGCCCTTCCTGCAGGAGGCTCAAGTCTCCGTCTTAAAGCTCCTCCACGTCTTGCGGTGGCACCTCGCAGCAGCCATTTCGGTGGAGCGCGCAGATGCCCGAAAGGAGGACCAGCTGTGCCATTGCAGGGAATGTAGCGTCGGCCCATGTTTGCGTAGTGACCCGCCACCCGCCACCCTTTCATTGAGCGGGAGTCCGCCTTACAGGGAGGGATCTGTCCACCTGTTGACCAGAACATTGCCCAAGCTGCTGATTTATTGCCATGATCCATCTACCGCATGACTCGCCACCCTTCCCTTTCATCACATTGGGTGGGAGTCAGCCTCGCAGGGAGGGACCTGCACACCTGTTGACCAGAACGTTACACCCTCAACTCACATGTGCAATTTACAGTCGATGGTTCTTTTTTCTTGTTCCATGCTAGTAAGTCCGTTGGAAGGTACCTCGGACCTCAAGACTCCAAGAATACGGTTGATTTGTTTGAACTCCTGCACCCTCAGGCACGAAAAGAATCCGGGTAGAAGTTGAGCGTTGTAACGTTGACCTTCCAATTGTTTGTTCTTGTAGGATCCCAGTTCAATTCTTGGAACTTCTCTTCGAACTGTTGGTTGAGGAGGTTCCGTCTTTCAGAACTCAACTCTAAGGCTCGGCTATCAGTTGGAGTTGTGGCAGGCCAGCATGTTTGTGGTCTTGGGGAGGTGCATGTGCATTCCACAAACATCTATATATATATATACCAATTGATACCAGGACCAATGGGTGTGCTGGCTGGCGTGCACACTACACTATTGGTCCCACACCGATTGGAGGCTCCTGGTACATGCCTTCATGGAGAAACTACTACCAAGTAGCTCTCGCAGTTGTTTTTCACCCGGATCAGATTCAGAATGATTCAGAGCTTTCATGAGATCGGATTCAGAATCATTCCAGCAGGTGGTGGAAAAGATGGACAGCATCCGCATGGTGGGGAGTGCCTACCTTTCGCTGGACCGCTGGGGGGCTGGACCTGTCATAGCTAGCCCCGGGGCAGAGCTCTGCACCTGAAAAGTCATGTCAGTCATGGTTGCTTAGGGCCTAGGGTGCAATGGCTTAATAAGCATAGTAATAAGCAAATGTCATTTTATAACAGACAGACAGACAGGCAGGCAGACAGACAGACACAGACAGACAGACAGACACAGACACAGACACACACAGACACAGACAGACAGACAGACACAGACACAGGCAGACACAGACAGACACAGACAGACACAGCCAGACACGGACAGACACACACAGACAGACACGGACAGACACAGACAGACACAGACAAACACAGACAGACACAGACAGACACAGACAGACACAGACAGACAGACAGACAGAGACAGACAGACAGATAGATGGATGGATAGATAGATAGATAGATAGATATAGATATGTGATCGTGTGTGCATCCTAATATTGCCCAATATAATAGATTATACTGTAATACCACATGATTATTTACTGATTATTACAGTATATATATATATAACTAATGTAAAATATTTTTGTCCACTGTCATTTGTCCTATATGTTGCACATATTGTTGCTTGCTTCGGGGCTTTTTAGAAACACTCTTCCCGGGGTTGATGAAGATGAGAAGCAAGGTTACTTTCGAAAAGCTCGTGGCTACCTGAATGCCTGGTGGGCCTGTCGCCGTGGCCGACAGATGCAGCTGCACGATTTCAAGCAGCAAGAGCACCAGCCGAAGATGCCAAACCCTTAAAGTCCAAAGACTACTGTTCACCTTGCCCTACCTGAACTGACCTTGCCCCCCCCCAAACAGGTATTGCCGGACATTCCCTCCTACTGTAGTCTGACCATTATTGCTATAGCTCTTGGAGTCCCCAACAAATACCAAGCGCATCAGCTACCAGAGACGTGACTGGGATTCCAACCTCCTCCGCGCGAGGGATCGACCACCGCACGATGTGTGCCCTTGCGATTCACACCCCCTGGCCGGTACCTGGCTCGTTTTGTTCGGTGTGCCCAAGGCTTTGGTTGACTTGAACTGGGCAGCCAAAAGTGCTTTCGCCAGGAGGAGTTCCTGCGCATCATGGCCAAAGTGTTGCTTGGCGACGCAAGAAAGAACTGGGAAGTCCCGCAAGTTACTGGTTGGTAAGATGGTTGATAACAAACTTGAGAAACAAAGGGGGCTCACCAAAGTACCCGTGCTTGGTGGCTTTTGGTGGGATATCAGCGTTTATCAAGAAACATGAAGATCGTGCTATGAGCCTAGCACCATGAAATTACCCAGTAATTAAGCAACAAACACCTTTATACATTTGGGATGTTGCAGAACTGATGGGCAATACATGTGTCAATGTCTCATAGGCTAGGTTCCAAAACCGCATGCTACTGCAAGCCGTTCTCAGGCACCAGCAGGAGATCGATTGCATCAGAAAGATGCTGGATGATGACAAGCAGGCAGAAGTGTTCCGTGCCTCACTTGCCCGATTCAGGATGAAGACGCACGTTTGACTGGCGGCCTGGTTGCCCTAGTGATCAACAGGTTTGGAGTGCGCAGCGTTCAAGCTAGGTTTGCCCTAGACTCGGATTTGCCAGGAGCCCCTTAAGCAGGACAATTGTTTTCCAGAGGCCGAAAAAGGTTTCACTTCCATGATTATTTCAGGGCTTCGGGGAGTGTATATGTTACAAATACCATCAAATACCTTAAAACATCCAGAAACAAATGCTGGGATTTGATGCTTTCGGAGCAGGACTGCCTACGTCCTTCGTCTCTTCGTCCCTCCGGGTGCCTCGTCAGGTGGTTCCGAACCCGCTGGGAGGCCCCGGGACCGTTCAATCGCGAGAGGGCCGTGAAGTCGGCCGAATCGAAATCCTTCAAACGAGGAGGGACCTTCAAAAGACCTGTGTGAGGCGCCGATCTTCAGATGTCCTGGCTCTATTGATGGTTTATGAACGTGGCCAAGTACAGCTTTCTTTTTGGGGGGCGAAGCCAAGGAGTTCCAAAGAATATCGACACATGTTCCCAGTTCGGCTGTGTTCAAAAAAGGCCCCTGTGGCCTGTGGCTACTTACTCGCCATTTGAGTAAACCTTATTTAGGGGGCAAGCATTGCACTCCCATGCAAGAACTATACATTACTGTATAATATCTGTATATAATAACTTCCCTGAACCAGGTTTTGTGGGAAACCCTGCTGGGGAGCACAATCGTGTACAATCCATTATTGCGGGTGTGTGTGCATATATGCGCAATTATGTGTCGTTTTCTGCGCTTTTTGCGTCACAGATCTTTTTCGATCCTTTGCGTCGCCCGGTTCTGCCCACCGTGCAGCATGCCAGGCCGCCCAGGCAGCAAGGAGAGCACGATGTCCCACGAGGTCCCCGCGAGCGACCAGGCGGTGGACGCGGTTCCGTGGACCGCGGACTCGCTCGGCCTCGGAGCGTGGGCATGTTGGCCGGTGACGCGGAGACCTCGTGTGGTTCGGGGAGGTCGGTTCGGGGAGGTGAAGCGAAGTGCCACGGAACAGGACGGGACCTCGTGTGGTCGGAGGCTGGAAACGAAGATGTTTGAAGATTTGGAGCAACATGGGGACGCAGAATGGAAGTCAAGAACAACTCCATCAGGGGAGTCACGATGGGTTGTGATATTTTTATGTATTAACTACGCCTCCCTCGAATTCTGATCACCACGCGGACCGGCGGTTGTTGGTCAGGTCGGTTAAACTAAGTGGATCTAAGTGGATAATTATTCAGGATTCCCTATCGGTAAATCCCTTTCGAATTTATATATATATATGTTTCTAGCTTCCTTAAGCAAATCCAAGTTAATTACTCTAGAAACCACTGTATCACATCATGGACGGGCTGTTCCACATGGGCAGTTCCGCACTGTTTGCCTCCACCCGGCCCGACTCTCTCTCTAACAGCAAATCTTCACACATTGTGTGTGCCCCTGAAAGCATGTGCTGATTCTCTGCCAAAACATCCGGGAGCCTTCCAATTAACCGGAGACTTCGACCAAACTCACTAGCCTTCGACCAAATCACTAGCCTTCACGACCTTCAATCCATGTTTGTCCATGTCTTTCCTATGTTTTGGGGTTCTGCCCTCCTCTTGGCCAACCCTCATAGGTCCTCATCGGTCCTCCCGCAGGCCGATGAGTCAAACCAGATCACAGCTCGGAGGCGAGACATGAGATCCACCACCCAGCGTCAGGTGGTAGCAGGCGGAGCAGGTTGATGTTGTTGTTTCTCCCGCGGGGGAAATCCCCCTTCCGGTGACGGTGAAGATGTGTTCTTCCCCGGTTCCTTAGGCGAAGCCAAGTTCGTTCATCAGACGCGTCTCTCTACCCCTGACACCCCCTTAAAAGGATGGGTCAGCAATGGTCAGGGGAAGATCCCAGAAGATACGACTTGCAGATCGGAATCAATTGGTTTTCATCCAATCCAATCACCATCCTGAAAGATGGTGCTGGATGAGGGTTGGTAATGTTGCTCAACTGTGCTTGAGGTTTCATTGCCTTGTCTTTGGGGTTGTGTCAACATGGGGAGACCTCTTCAAAGCACAGGATGTAACGAGATTTGTAATTTCCAACTTTATATTACATATGGTCCGTGCCGCGGGGTAGCCCTATGTCAACACGCACCCATATCATGACTCCATACCCTTGTTTGGAATAGCAATCAACTAGCTTAGCACGAAAACACACAAAGCACCTTTGGGAAATGGTTGGGACATGTTGGGATATATGATGTATATATATATATATACCTAGAGCCTGACTGACCTCTGTTTTGATAGGAAAAGACATGAAAAGACCATATTTTGGATAGTTGACAGTTGATGCTCCAAAACAGGGGTCATTCAGTGGGTACTGGCGGCACAGGTTCTACCCACCCAAGCCATGATTTCTAGGCCACTGGATACGAACAGCTGATGAACTTGAGTCAAAGGACATGTTCTCATGAGTCTCATGGCATCATTGACAGTTGTCAAGTTGTGTGTCATGGCTCCCGCGACGGAGGTTTGCCGTCTCACCCCCCGCACGCGTCGACGGATGTTCTGATTCTTCGCTGACTTTCCACGATTCTGAGCTAGAGATCTCGCACCTCGAAACGATCCTCCTCCCACTCTGAAGGTGGTGAATTCCACCACTCCGTCAGGCTCAAGCGGGTCTTTCATCACTGGGGTTATCCCATGGCCTCGTCCGGGTGCCCCGGATCCGAGGTTCGAGCTCTTGAACGGTGGGAGTTGGGGGTGCTGTCGGACTTCGTTTTGCCTTCAGTACAGTTGGGTCCATGTGAACCTCTTGTTGGGGGGATTGCGCCATCTACTCTCAACCCACTATAATTAGCTTGATGTAGAAAGTGTTTAAAGGTTCAAAATGGTTTCAGAAGGAATTGGGTGCTGAAAGCAGATGGTTTCTTTCCTCGGAGTCGTTTCTGTTGGTGTTTTGGCGAGGCCAGTTTGACACTGAGAGATTGTTTGACCTGGATTCGGATCTGCGAATGATTCAGTTTTATGATTCAGTTTTGGCTATGACGCCGCAGTTCAGAGTGTTGTTTCGAATATGTAGTGGCTGCGGAGAGGAAGGCTGCCATTTTTTTAATGGAGTAAGTGATGTTTTTATTCGCTTCTCTCCCTATGGCAAATGCATCATTCCATTTCTCATCCCTTATCCAGCTATTTGAACATTGGTGGATGCTAGAGGCTTTCCTATCCGAAGCCCTTTCGCCCTTTCAAATGCCTGGCGCTTTGCCAGGGGTGGGTTATTTTGGGCGACCTCTAGTTGTAGGAATCTGAAACAAGACAAAGTATAGAACCCCAAGGAGTTGAGCCCCCTGTCAGCGACCAACCCACAGAATGTGGAGACAAATTGTTCGGTGAACACTTGACATGGCATCCTTCCAAAAGGGGAACGAAATCAGAGATGTTAGATGTTCAGTAGCAAGCGTTCCTTCATGAGGATGGGTTCCTCATCACGTCCCCTCCTTCATGTGTGTTGCGTTTTTGAAATCATGGGTGTTATCCATATCAAGATGCCCACCAGAGAAGTAAGGCTACTTGGGTGTCGGCTAGAAAATGCCAACGAAGGCTCGCGACTTGGGCGCCTTTCTAGGCAAGAGCTGGTCGCACTTTCCAAAGAATTTGCTCAAGGATCTTTTTCACAGGAGCGGCTGAGCGGCTCAGTTCGGAGCAGGGATGGAGCCCTTTTTCGGTGTCGACCTTCCTGTCAAGCTTGAAGGATGGAGCGGAAAAGGTGGTTCTTCTGGAGATTGAACCTTCAGAGACCCAGCTTGGGCGCTGGTGACGGGGGCGAACGGACACTTGGAGACGGGCCCGGAAAAGCCCTCCTTAAGCTTCATTATTACTTACTATTGTATAGCCCAGACACTCCATGTATGCCGTATATGCCTACATTGACCCCCCAAACCACCCCAATGTAGGCATATATGGCACACATGGAGTGTCTGGGTAGTATTGCTTTTGTTGGATTGATGTTCTCCCGGGCATGACCCCCTCTTGCCTCGAAGCGAAACACCTCCTTGGGAAGAACTTCACCTTCAAGCTAATAGCGATGGCCTCCAACCTAATAGCTTTTAGTTATAGAATAGTACCCAGACACTCCATGTGTGCCATATAAATATGCCGATCAGTTGGGGTGGTGCCAGGGGGGTCAATGTAGGCATATATGGCATACATGGAGTGTTTGGGGGATAGAAACGATCGCTTATTTGGGATTTATCTTCTCCCTCTCGCCTCGAAGTGAGACACCTCCTTTGGAAGAGCTTCTTCACCGACATGCCGTGCGGGCGTGCGGGCCGTGGCAGGACGTGTGGGGCGTGGCCCAAGTCCTCCGCCGACATCGGAAGAAGGCTCCGTGAAGGAAAGGGGTAGAGTATGGTAGAGTACACTCGGAGTCACTCATGTAGAAGTCGACCACCTTTTGTTTGTAGAGGAAAATGGTCATCCAACGGGGACCATTTGCAATGTGTGAGGCTGCCAGGAATTCAGCAAAGAGCCTGGATCACAAGTGCCTTTGACGTTCCAATCATTGACCATGCTAGACTACTTTGAACTTCTGAAGAGACATGAAGAGACCACGCTGGGCGCACATGCCCAATATGAAGTTTTGACGTCAAGACTCAGCCTACATTAATTAATAGTCTCCAATCAGCTTCTGAGAAGGTACTTGGATCCCTAGGGAGTAACTTGTCCTGGACCGCCCTCCCCAGGTGCGGGAGCTCGTACGAAAGAACTTGGGCCCCTCGGCGCGGTCCATATCGCGGAGGATAAGACAGGACGGAGCGTTTTGCGGATCTCCAGGTGGCCGCGGGGATATTCGGAGGCCTTCCAGGAAGGAAGTCATGTGTGAGATCCCATGCCTAACTCGGTATGACTCCAACCTTGCCTGTGCAAGTGTTCTGAGCGGGAATCGTTCCGGGTGTCCAGTTGGTCCAGGAAGGTGTCGGAAGTTCAAGTCCCTTCGATCCGAAGTGTCGGGCAAGAGTGTCGGAAGCCGTGGAAGTTGCGGCACCACGGGCAAACCAAAGACATGAATTGCCAAGGGTACAACGTCTGTCATGTTGCCCGCTGCGGTGTTTTGAAGGTCACCCTTGGACCTGGAACCATACACAACTCCCGAACACTCCCGAACCCAAACAATTGTCGTTAGAAAGTCGAAAGAAAGCTCAAAGCGTTGGAATCCGCTGCATTTGGTCTCTTCTTTCGGGTTTTAACATGACTTTTAACATGTTTTAACGGTTAACAAGCTTCAACTCTTCTTCCCCCATCCTCAACTCTTCTGCCCCCATTCTTCCAACACTGTGCCTTTCACCACTCCGTTCCAGTCGCCACTCCGGAGACAGCGCGGCGAGTGGAGTCTCCACGCGGCGCGGTTGCGCCTTCTCCGCCGAACGCCTCGTCCGACCGGTCGAACCGCGCGGACCGCGGACCGAGGTTTTCATCGCTTGGAGGTGGAGTTTCTCCAAGAGGCCTTTGGACGGATGGGCGCCACCCCGCCGGGGCACCCGAGGAGGCGGGCAATGTGTGTCGAGGCCCAAAGGAGTGGAGCTGATGTGGTGCGCATTTGGAGTGGTGCTTGATGTCTTGAGTTTGGGTAGAGGTGGCATGGAGCTGATGGATGCTGGCATGGATTTAGGGGCAGGATTCAGGATGGTTCGTGATTCACGATGGTTGAATTTGTGAGTGGCCTCACTGTGTTATTTTTTCCATTTTAAATGTATCCTACCGCCAGCAGGGGCTTTTGGCTTTTGGTTTGAGACAGCAGGATGCACTCATAGGTCGGAAGTTTCAGCATCGGCCGCTGGGTTCGCAAAGGATCGGGACGCATTTGGCAACGGACGGTGGATAGGGGGAAGACACTTGAAGACTTGAAGACCATTTGCTTCAGTATGTAGTGGCCGTGGCTGGGTTTACCAAGCTTCGATAGGAAAATCCTATACGCATGTTCAGGCATGTTCTGCCTGAAGGGGACATGAAGGGGTTTGAGAGCAAGTGGGACTGACATCACACAATGTAGGTGTGACACATGATTGCTTGTGCTTGCATTCCTTTCTTGAGCATTCCGACTCCGAGGCCGGAATTTAAGTTGAAGGCACGTGGGGTGTGGGCCCATTGGGTAGGTAGATGGAGCCGATTTTGACCCTGGCAAGCCTGAATGCACCCAGAAAGTTCGAACGGTGTGCAGAGAGTGCAGAGGATCACGGCATCAATCACGGACAACCTCAGAGCGAAACTTACTGACACATATTGAATTGTTAAAGGTGTCCGCTTCCAATGTTTGATCAGATTCTTCGACTTTGCAAAGGTTCCGTGTCTTGTGTTTCGCTTCCTGCGCAAGGGCAAGATGCTCAGCAATGTCGTGAGAGAGCTCTTCCCAGGAGAGGTTGGAAGTCGCAAGTCATGCGACCAATGGGCCTTGGTGGGACGTTCTCCATTCAGACCATGAGGATCAGATCTGTAACCAAGTTCCACAGTCAAGGCTTCTTCAGGACTGTGGGATTGGTCACCTGCATGTCCACCCACCCAGACCTCACTCTCCTTGCGGAGTCTCCGCGATCCACCTGGTAGGAGCGGAGAGGGATCAACATGAACGGTCCCGAGCGCATTGGATGCTGAAGCAGGCGAGTTTCCGCCCACACACTGCGAGAAATCAGTGGAATGCAGTCGAAGTGTACTGGCAGCTGTCCTGCTGTTTGGTGGACTGTCCTGCCCCTTCCAATCGCACAAACAGATGACAAACATGATGTATTCACCTTGTCAAATGTCATTATAGTTCCTTATAAATTATGATTCATTCATGAAATTCATGGCCCAAAAATGGACAAACGGACCGACCTGATCGAGCCAAAAGCGTGGTTTTCTCATCCATCTTCACAGCACTGCATCCTTGGAAGTTTGGAATTGGGGGGCATTTGTCAGCATATCAGGTGACAAAGTCCCAGGGCAATTGTGAAGCGCTGGAATTCCAGGAGCGGATTAGCTGCCGAGTTGACACGGACGGAACGCGGATTGGAGCAGTTTTTAGTACACTAAGGTGGATCTAGGTGGTGGTTTGGGGTTCGGCTTTCTGGACACCTTTCAGCCAGATTCTCAGATCTAAGGGGAAGTTTCAGGCGGTTTCAGGATGTTTGGACTTCGAGGCATCGATCATTCTTGGATCATGGCGGAAGAGAAGAGAAGCTTTGGCCGGGTCTGGTCTCGAGTTCCCGTGGGGCCGGCCGTGGTCCGGCCGTGGTCGAGATGCGCGTTTTGGGTGTTTTCACACACCACGTGTGGGTTCAAAGAGCCGGAAAGGGTGTCAGAACCTAGACCATTGAAACAACCTCTGCGGAATTGGTTTCACCACTAAACACACCAAACAGGTGGTCAAAGGATGAAGGATGTTCATGTTTCTCCAGGGCAACGGCAACGGAGGGGTCGGTTGTCTGGATGGTGTGTTGTTCCACTTCCCCCCCTAACAGTGTGGTTACGCTCTAGGGGTGGGGCTCAGTCCCTCCTTGCGCTAGGTGTGTATGTTTGGACTGTGCTCCTTACAACTGTTTTTGGTAATTGTTCAATCATGTTCACTCCTTTTTTTTACAAAGGGCGTTTGATTGGTTGGAAGTGGAACCTGAATTTCTTTGGTGGGTCTGATGCGCGCTTTTTCCGCTGCTTCCAGCGGCATAGCTGACACCTCTTGGGTGTGATGTGCTGGACTGTGACATGTTCAATTAGGATCAATTAGGTCCATTGGCTGTTGTTTTGATGTTCCTCTCGGATTTGCGAAACCACTTGGGCCATGAGGCTACATTGATCATGAACTACACCGTTGGACGTGCAGTTTGGATGGGCGGATTGGCCATTGGCAAAGCCCTTGCCGTCCAGGGAGACCACCTACTCCTCGACTCCCTGAAAAGGGACAGTTGAAATAGACACCCATTGGGCTTCCGGGGGGTTCTCCCTATTCACATACATGCCTTTCCTGTGGTGCTTCTGTGGTGTCACTCTAGATCTCCCGGCTCGGAGCCCTGGGACATCGTTCCAGGAGTTTCTTCACTTGGTGCGCTTGCGCTTGGACCTCTCCACGGAGGCCAGGCTTCAAGAGGCGGGGAAGGGAGCGGTGGACGACGGGAGATCAGGGAGCCACGAGCGGTGAAAGGGTCCGGGTGCAGGTAGAATGATTCAGATGACCGGCAGTTGAAAGAGTGGGTAAGATCGCAGCATGCGGTGACAGTGAAGCTTCACAGTGAAGTAATTCGAAGGCCTCTGAAACCAAGAGCGCAAAAAGGAGCATGCTGCTGGTGATGCAGCTGCTTGTGTACCTTTGTGTTTAAAGTATGGAGCATGGAGGAGCATGGCAGGTGTGTTCTATTATTGCTGGCCACGTGGGTCAGCGACAGAGAAAAACACATGGAGACCCCACAGCATTGGTCGTCACACATTCTCCGTGTGCAATTGAGTTCATGTTCGAGATGTTTGCCCAAGTGGTTGATGCATAACATCCAAGCTCACCCAGAAGTGATGCAAACCTCTTCTTCCACTTCGTGAGGTATTTTCACTAAAGTTAAACCTCCTCACTGCACTTTAAAGCCCCAAATGACAGCATACATGAATCTTTCCCAACCACATCGAGATGTGGAATCCAGTGAGGACCTTTCCGACCGAACCTTGAAGTCTATAAGATCTTACAAGTGACCATGGAAACAGACCGGCCGATTAGTGGTGACCTTTTTTATCCCTCACACCAAGGGATTTACAGACCGGTCCCCCCAAGGAATTTACAGATCCATTCTGAACGGTCTTGACTCGGTGAACTGAAACCCGACCAGCTCGCGTGGGCGTTCCGTGCAGCGACGCAGCGAGGAGCATCGAGCCTTAGAGGTGTTGAAGTTCGTTCCGGTGGAGGCCGCTGAGTTGGGGAGCCCTGCGATGGTGGGACGAGGCCCTCAGCCCTCAGGTGTCCGAACTATGTGGGAAGGCTTCTTAGAAGAGATCAAGGCCCTAGTGCATGGGCACTGCACTCATGGTTTTCGTGGATGGCTCCAGTTGTGAACTATGTCGAGCAAACATAACTGAGAGGTCAAAACTAGTGCACACATGGACACTCCCTGCAATCATGGAAGTGGAGTGAGTGAAAACCACTTGTTTGGGTGGGCGGACTTCATCGTCCGAAATCGGGGCCATACCATCCACTTCCATCCTTTTTGAGGGAGTGTGTCTTCAATTAGGTGATGCGGACGGCCGGGCGGACCGTCGTGCGCGGAGGCTGATGGGTTCATGGACCCATCGGTGCCCTGGCACCGCCCCAACACTGCGCCGAACAAGGGTGCGCCCCCAACAAAATAGGACGGATGGTAGCCACTGGAGACCTTCATCATTCGATGATGGTCGACCAGCAGACCTGCCCGAGGAACCCACCACATCGAATTCTCCGACATGGTTTCGCCATCCTGACTTCGCGGACTCCGTGGTGGGACATCGCATGACATGGCCAATCATGGTCACCACGGGATACCAAGGTGGAGGATCATTTTCCACAAGTTGGCGCGTGCAGAGCAGAGTTTGACCCTCAGCGCACCTGTTTGCAGATCTGTGGCAGGATGTGTGTGTGTGTGTTTGTTATTCTTTTCTCCTCAGCCGATGTGAAAGCATCCTTGGGCATGGAGGGTCAGAACATCTTCTGGGTTTGGAGTTCTTTTCCTTGTTTGGGTGAAGACCTGGAATGCGTGGATGTCGTCAGCTGACCCGGATGCAACTCGAGTGCGAAGCGCCGGACTCGCGCATGGAAACCGAGCGCTTGGACTGCGACCACCGCGTGGATGAGCTGCTAGCAGCTCAAGCCGAGCTGCCTGAGCTCGGCTTCGGCTTGATCTTCTACTCATTTGGAGTTCCAGCTTGGGTATATAAGTGTTCGAAAATTCCCTCCCATCCTGTGAGTGTCACAGAGAATGGAGAATGGGCACTACGGCACCCCTCGAGTAGGCCAATAGGAATCCTTTTCCCCAACAATCCATGAACGTTAAGACATTGACTTTTATCCTTAAAGCATCTCAAAGCCACCCTAATCTTAAATCAACCCCCATATAAAAGGATGTCCAATCAAGAGTCTAAATAGTCTAAATTAGTATAACATTAGTGACCCTTAGGTAGGTAGGTAGGTAGGTATAGGTAGGTATAGGTAGGTATAGGTAGATTCGTAGGTAGATAGGTAGGTAGTGTAGGCAAATATCGTATATATGGAGTCTTTGAGGTTTGGATCTCCTGGTTGTTATTCTTTTTTCCACCCAGGTGCCACCACCGGCGGAGTGCTCACGCAGGCGTGAAGCCGGAAGGCCACAAAAAAAGTGACGGTTGATGAATGCAACTGCCCATGTGGAGATGTGAAATCCTGTTTGGTAGACTTGGTTGGGTTTTATTCATCAACAGTCTACACTTTGTTTTGACATGACATAAAGACAGAATATAACATGGACGCACCAGCACCAGCACCACCCAGGTTGCGTTTGGGTGGTCTAGAGAACCGCACCCCTTCAGCCTTACCATCGGTTGCTATCCTGACTGGGTGGTGCTGGCAAAAACTGCTTTTGTTTATATGTAATCATAACCTTAGGGCTCTAAGTATCTTCTCAGAAGGTATTTGGACCTTCCTGGCGCCCACCTCAGCCCCACTTTCTGACAAGGTGCGAAGCCCTACGGGAAAAAACAGATACTGCAATAGAGAAGAGAGAGAGAGAGAGTTCTTTTATTATACCCCAGACACGACCCATGGGACTGCCATATATGGCGCCCCATTGATCCCCCCTGGCACCACCACCCCAACTGATCGGCAGTCCTATGGCAGTCCCAGACAGGTCGTGTTTGGGTTATACTGCAGGCATTTCTCCAAGATCGCTCGAGTTTTGGGCGGATCGTTGGATGTCGTAGGTCTCCGCCACCCCGGTCTTGAGCTATGTGGCCGTCGCCTGGCGATGGGCAGGGGTAACGGGGTAACGGGTGGTACCCTCCCTGGTCCCTCCAAAGATGGAAGTGGAATTCACCCCCCCTGTTTGTAGAGGAGAAGGGTCCACTTCCAAGATTGTTGGAGAGAGGGTAGTAAGTGTAGTAGTAACTGTACATGTCGCACCCCGTTGTTGATGATGTCCCACCTGGTGACCCGATTGGATTTCAACTTCGATACTCTCAGCGAAGGATTTCTTCTGATGCTCTCACCAGGGAACGGTTCCAGGTCCCAGGTCATTCAAGGTTCTTGGTTCTACAATGTTTTTATACATATACTTTAGGACCTTTGTGGGCCTCTTTATTCAAGACCTTCTGTTTGGCATGCTGGAGGCTCCAGGACTATTTATAAATCATCAGGAACTATTTATAAATCATCAGGAACTATTTATAAATAACTAAGGCATTAATGACCATTATTATTGCTGCTATCATGAGTGTTGAGAGGCTACAAGCAACACAAATTACTGGGGAAAACAACAGTCTCACATCCACTGAAGTTTAGCTTCACCCGAGCCATGGGCCGCACCTACAAAAGGAAGAGAACAGTGACAATGAGGGTAAAAGTCAAAGTGAAAAGGAGGAAACGGGTCAAGCGGAGCAAACAATTAGCACAAGTTGCAAGCCACAGTGCCCAACCTTTTCTATGCTGCCCACCGCCACTTCCACCACCACCTCCACCCCCACCAAGACGAGCAAGACCGCGGATCCTACCACCTCCACCACCAAGACCACCAGCCCCATTGCCACCACCGCCACCACCACCACCACCAAGACCAAAACACTGCAGCTACCACTTCACTGCTTGAGAAGGCTCTCAGGCACATCAGCTCTGATGACTCTCATGATTCATTCAGACCCTCAGATCAAATTAGTGTATGTATGAACAGGCAAAAGGGGGGCCAAACAAGTGACATGATGGCTGACAACAGTGTCAAGCTTTACAACTGTTCTTCTTGCTTTTTATTTTTTCGGCATTCCGCGTCCGCTGATGATGGCTGGTCTCTGCGTTGGAGAGGATGCCCTCTTAAAGAGTGAGAATCATAGCTGAATTGAGATTTGAATGGGTGATGTGTTGGGGAGTTCAACCAGGTTGCAGGTAAATCAGGGCAAAGGTCCAGCTATATTGGATTTTGACATTGATCTCGGCCAAGTGATCGTTGTAGAGTGTGAAATTTGTGGAGTCACAGGGTGAATCACGCACCTAATTGCCTATAGATGATTGTGTCGCAATTCAGATTTGGGTTGAGATTGGAAGACAGTATCAGGGGTGTTTCAAGCATCTGGCCTCATCCCAGGAAAGGCAAGCGCCCTGCCTATTTGGAGTGGGCCTCCCGCTTTTGCAAAGCTCTCAATCTGCAGGAATATGTCAAAGATATGAAGGATGAGTTTCTTGGGGGCACTTGTCTCCTGTTTTAGGCTGGTGGCTGATTTCTTCAAAGAGGGACAGGCTGCAATGTAGGAGGTGGTCATTGAAGGGTGGTGCCAACATGGGGCATGTGATATGTGTTTTCAACTCTTTTCAATTTTCCCCACTGTTTTTAAACAGACCAACATTTGCTGACATCAGGTTGCACATCACGGAGGGCTGCGCTGGCAGTGCACCTGCTACCCTAATTCTGAATCTTGGGCTTCAAGCTCTTGGGAATGGGGCAAGGGTCCTGAGAGCATGAGACACATGGTTTCATGCAAGCCGGTTAGCAAGAGGAACCCTAGGGGTAGCCTGAAATACTATAGTATATTATAGACAGACTGGACTCTACATAGAATTGAATATAACTTAACTTCTATTTTGTCCAGTTACTATTTTCAACCCTGTGTGAGGTTCAGATGATTTGCTGGTTGTAGATTTCTAGACTCATTGTTTGCAGTCATGACAGGGGTGGTAATACCACCACAAATCATGATTCAGTTCCCATTGATGTCCTGACCGAGGCGTGAGTTATCCAAAACCATCGGCCTTCAGTTCCGGACAGATGTGGCAATGGAAAACTGTCAGTTCAAGCAGCAGTATATCTCCCGGAATTTCAGGGAACATAGCGCCTGAGCTTCACAGGAGCAAGTTGGTTGTCAATAGTTTACTGTACAGCTACTGCTTGCAATTGCATTTTGTTTGTGTGCAGGGCAGGTGTTTGAGAATTTTGATTTGCTGCAAGTCAGGCACTCCAAATGAGGTTGATGGAAAATTAATGGCAGCAAACAATGCAGTAGGCAGTAGAAGGCCAGTAGTAAGCTGGCAGTCAATTTGCTAGTTCTTCCGTGTTGTTGAGATGAAGTTGATGAAGTCAATGAAACCATTTTGTCACAGCCAAGTTGACCACTTGTTTACGGACGTCAAAGACGCGCACCTCTCTGGCTTTTGCTTGCATCATGGGCAACGGTGCTTTGCTGGAGATGATGTAGAGGACATGTTTCTTTGGGGGGCCCCTTGTCCTCCATACAGTGCACCTTGGCTGCCAGGGCTGATGTTGGTTCAAGCAGTCTGTGAAGGTCAGAAGCAAGGGATTGTAAACACCCGTCACTTTGACTTTCACTAGTCTGTCAGAGCCAGAGTCAAGTCATGTCAAGTCATTTTCATATTTGAGACTGGCAGACTGCAGACTTGACCGGACTGACAAACTTGAACACACATCCTTTGTCACAGCTGTTTTGCTGCCGGTCATTGAGGGCCCAACACCGAAAACCCATTTACTGACACTTCTCAATTCTTTCATGGGTGGGAGTTGGTCGGAAGTGAGGCCTTGAACAATCGCAAGAGAACTTTGCACTACAACCCGTTTACAGAGACTGGTGCCCAAGCATTTTTGGACTGTGCCCGATATATCCGTAGCTTGGAAGCAGTGCTCAAACTTCCTGTTTGAGCGAATTTTGATGTTGAAGTCATTGAGGTCAGGTTGACAGTCAAGTTGAGTCATTAGAGGTTCAGTGACTCAGTTGACAATTTGAGTTTCACTGTCAAGGAGCCAAGCGCAGTCATACAGTCACTGGAAGTCCATACTCCGCAAGTCAAGCTGAAGTTTTCCCTAGGTGACAGACGACCGCCAATCAGCATCATTGAGCAGGCAAGGTTTTTGACTGACTTGGTAGCAGGACAGGACAGATGAGATGCTTGGAAGAGCAACCAACCATTCTGAAGCAGTTGAATTATTATTCAATGTTTTGTCTTTTTTTGGTGTAGACAGCGAGCAGGGACAGGGACCTGAAACATGTGGACATGGTGACTTCCTGACCAGGACAGGACAAGACATCATTGCTCCAGTGTAGCCTTGGGTGTCATTAAGTTCAGTAAGATAAGAAGAAGCACACGAGCTTTTTTTGACCATGAATCAATTCCAATCCAACCTAATTACTTTACAGTAAGTATTAAGTATCCTGCAATCCTGCATTGATCATGCTGGATGGTTCATTGGATATGTCTCCACAGGCCTGGTTGCACCTAGCTTCAGCTCTGTCACAGGTGAAGGGAATTACTACTCCATTTCCTCCTTGCGACGATCCAATGAACACCTTCTTCAAAGAGTACAAGGTGCCCGTCCACTGCGGGTCAAGTTGGCAAGTTGGAGTTGGAGGTCTAATGAAACCTTGTTTTTTTGATGCGCTGTACTGTACTGCTGCCCGTTGTTTCAAGTAGTCACATGCTCCACATGTTTTTGGACTGTTACAAGTTACAAGGCAAACAAATAGCAGAAAAGGTCAGTCAACAAGTCAGACATGTTCAGAGGGTCAGGTGACTTATGCTACAGTACTACGACATAGTGCGCACACACTACAAATGACAGGTGACAGGATTAGGCTTAGGATTCAGATACAAAAGTACTATCAGACTTTGCGGTATTTCATCTATCAGGAATCAGGACAGGAAAGGAAGGCCAGGCCCTAAGCACTTTTTTCTCAGGGCATTCTGAGGTCCAAGGTTTGTTGTGACATTGTAGTAAGCTCTGGCCGCTCCATCCCTGGCCCATGGCATTGTCAGATCTTTGGAATCACGAGTCTGGGTCTGAGTCTCAGGACTCTCCAGACACTGCTCTCAAAAAACAAAAGAGGCTGCAACAAACTGCCAGTGCAAGGGCAGCTGCAGTGAAAGCCAGCCGTCAAAAGTTGAAGGACAAACTTACAAGGACAGTCACTAACCAAGTGACTGAATCAAGAAAACGTTGGCTGCAGGAGGATTTTTTTACACAGAAGCTCTTCCACCCTGGATCTTCGAAGTCAGTAAATTATCCCAGAAGACAATCTGATCGTGCGAGATGCGTGTACAGTTTGCTCCTGTGTTTGGTCAAGACTATCCAAACACTATTTCAAGCACCTCAGGTTCAGACTGTCATCAACTGCATCACAGCAGATGACACAACAGTCCGGATGAGGCCGGCAACAGGCCGCAGTCAAATCTTTACAGTTTGTGACACTGTGCAAACACTGCACATCCAGCATGCAACTGGCAGAGCAGCCACTGGCCATGATGAGACACACTGGAAGACAATTGGTGTGCCATCACCCATGCATATCCTTTCTGGGTGCAAAGCGGGTCATGTGCATGGCGCCATGACCTGCTTTTCTGAGACTGGGACATTTGTTCGAAACCCATTCATTCCGCACAAGCTTTGGGAAAGCTCTTGTTCGTGTCCTCCGAGCACCCAACATGTTTCAGCGCACCTAGGCCAGATGTCGAAAAATCATTTCACTTTTGGTGTGCTGTGTCCAGCATCTGTGATGAAAGATTTGTTGATTCTGACATCCCAGAACCCTCATCACCCCTTGAATTAGACATGTCACTGCCTTCTGGGGATTGAAATTGAAATATGGGAATCAGATCGGTAAGAAATTGAATTCAGAATCAGAATCCAGCTGAGGTATACCTGTGCACAGCTTGCCAGCAGAATCTGCACACTGGAGGAGCAGATCAGACTGGATTTTGCGGGACTACAGCTGTCAATCAAAGTCAGGGAAAAAAGCACTTGTGG